GCTGAGTTATTGAACTAAGTTAGAGAAATTAATTAAATATTATAAAAGTTTTCCAAATTAGAAAATGAAATAAGTATTTAAAAACGACGAATAAAATAAAGTGGAGCAAATATTTAAAAACGAAGGGAGTAGTTCACTAATGGAGAGTAAACTACACTAGTATATTTATAAAATAAAAGTAGGAGTAAAATATCTAGTATTAAATTTTAAAAATAATTAATTTAATTTGATACTTCATATCATACCATTATTCCATTATGTAGTTTTTTTAATCGTAATTATTTTATATAAGTATAATATATCTTAGTAATTGTTTTAAGTTCTCGGTCAAATGCTATTAAAAAAAAAAGTTCTCGGTCAAATATATGCATGTCCAAAATCACATTGTTAATTAATAAGTAGCACAACAATTTAATAATACATTGTATTGCATTAATATATAAAACCACTCAGTTTATTATTTTATTAATCGTTTTTGTGGGAATTTTTTAAAATTTGAATAGATAATTGGCCTTGTTCTTTTGAGATTCTGGGAAGAGCGGAGCAGAGGTCAGCATAGCAGAGCAGAGTAGAGAAGATTTCAGGATAGTAGAGCAACGCCGAGCCGAGCACTGCACATTTCAACATTATTGTTAATACTATTATTAATGTTATTATTATTATTATTATTATTATTATTATTATTATTATTATTATTATTATTATTAAGTGCATATACAATTTAGGTGAGTGAAAACATAAATATATGTGTACCATATTTAACATATGTTAATAGTAGAAAGATAAAAGACAGCGGTTTACTTATATTTATTTCACAAAAAATTTAAAATAAAATGATTTAATGAGTATTAATGATTTTACTTATAAATTTGTCTTAATCATACATTTTTAACCCTAAAAATAATAATAATATACAAAGTACTACTTGAAAACAACCTCTATTTTTCTTTCATTCTTAAAATTTATGGAAATATTTGAAAAATAATTCAACTCAATGAACTAACAATCAATACCCACATAAAATATTTCTAAACATTGTGATTCTAATAACAATGTTTATAAAAAAAATTGTTATTAATTATTATTATTATTATTATTATTATTATTATTATTATTATTATTATTATTATTATTATTATTATTATTATTTGTAAGAATTGTTATAATTATTAGAAATTATTAATTAATAATATTAAAAAATATTAATTCTTAATAGTTTGAATAATTAAATATTATTATTAATTATTATGATGATTAATAAATATTAATTATTATTAATATTAATAATTATTAAAATTATTTTTAATATTAATAATTAATATAATTATTCAAAATAATAAATTATTATCATCAATACAATATTAATTATTATAATTGAATATTAATTATCATTGTTGTTATTATTAATTATTATTTAAAAATTAAGTAGAGCATAGCCGAGCAAAGCAGATTTCTTTTGAGCAGAGCAGAACAGATTTGATTTGAGCAGAGCAGGGCTCAGCAAAGCAAAGCAGAGCAGCTCTAAAGAACGGGGCCTAAGTTTGGTTTTAATATTAGTTTTAAATTTTCTTGAACAACTACGCGCTACCCCTACTTGAAAATCCTGGATCCGCCACTGAAAAGGTGGTATTATACTATTATTCTTGACAAAATTTCAAAAAAAAAAAAAAAAAAAAAACAAAAAAAAAAAAAAAAAGCACTCTACTGATAGACCTAGTTTGCGCAAAAAAAATTGACTAAATTTATTCTTATCTCTATTCGTGTTTAATTACGAAATATTGATTGATACATAATACATTACGAAATATGATTGATTAATACACATGAGTGATATGTCATATTCAATCAAGGCATCTAGATCTATCTACTTTTTTCAACATTAAACAAATTACTGAAGTAATACTATAAAGTGGTCAAATATCTCACCAACCATATTATAATGCTATAATTATATAGGATCAATGACTTTTTTTATTTATTTTTTTTTTTCAATTATATGGAACTCACAAATCTCTCGTCACAAATCCGCATAGTGTGTGTATATATAGGATCAATGATTGTTTTTCCATATATATGGTACTCACAAATCATTTCAATTATCTTTATACTAATTATGGAAACCTTTAAAAAACACCATCTTTTTCTCATTTTTCTCACAACCCTAATCAATACTAGCATACTCAATCCTACTATAGTAGAGTCATGTAACGCCATCGATAAAGAGGCATTGCTTGAATTCAAACGTGGGATTGATTACGATAGTGGCGACCAACTACTCACGTGGAACCCTAAGACCGATTGTTGTACATCGTGGACTCAAGTCACTTGTGACAACACCACGGGAAGAGTTATTCGAATTGCTCCATTCATACCTTCAGATCTGATGGATCGTGATGCCTCTATCTTCGTAAACGGTACACTCTCCCCTTTCCTAGGCAATCTTACCTATATTCAAGAACTTGACCTTGGTCGTTTTCAACAATATTACCTCGATAGCCCGTCCGGTATAAGAGGTCCTATCCCACCTCATTTAGGTCAATTATCACAATTAACCTACCTTTCCCTAGCTGGAAACATTCTTAGTGGCTCAATACCATCTTCATTTGCTTAACTCCGTCTTTTAAAAACTCTCAACCTTAGCTATAATAAGCTCTCTGGCATTATACGCATCAATCTATTTCAATCAATGAAATCACTCAACAAACTATACTTAGAACAAAATAAGTTCACAGGCTCTATACCAACTTCCATCGTAAATCTTATCTCACTCGAAGAACTCGATTTGACAAATAACTCTTTCTCAGGTGAGATTACATTTAGTATTGGCAAGCAAAAGAACGTCGAATCTATATAATTGTCATATAACAAGTTTACGGGGATAATACCAAACTCACTAAGTAAACTTTCTAAGTTATATGCTTTGAATCTGGATCATAATAAACTTAGCGGAAGTATTCCGCAACCAGTGTTGAATTTGAAGAAGCTAGTTAGGTTTGATGTCTCTAATAATCAACTTAGTGGAAGAATTCCACCACATCGTTTAAATCTTGATGCTTCTTCGTTTGCGGGAAATCCTGGCCTTTGTGATGCTCCGCTCCCTCCTTGTAAGCGTGTGTGATGCATGTGTTAGTTGTATCATGTAATTTTTAGCTTTTGTAATAAGCATATTCCGCAAATTTATTACTTTTGGATACCAAAATCTCTCCGATAATGCAAAATGTCTTTATTTAAGTTATTGTATACGAATTTATTGTAATATCCCAGATTTTAAAATATGATTTATTATACCTAAAGTTTATTTTATTAGCTTATTAAAGTTTAATCTATATTTTACCACGACTATTTTAGTCTTAATCTTATTTTAAGATTATATTATGTCAAAAGATAATTTTATGAAAAAAAGTAATTATTTCAAAATGTATTTCGGATTAATAATTCATATTTTTATGTTTTGTCAAATGTTGAAAGACTTGCATCAATATCTGTAATTTTTACCGAGATAGTGAATGGCTAAGCTACCCTTGCTCACCAAAAGAGACAAAACCAAACTCCTAAGTTCATCCTTTCTTCACGACTAAGAAATGAATTGACAATTTCATTTTTCATGGCTTCTTTATACCAGAATGGTTGCCTAATTCTTGTGGTAATCTTATCACGTACAAGCTATTGATCCTTCACGATTAAGAAACAAAAGAGCAAAGGATAAACTTTGCTTCATTCAACTAGGAAACAAAACCCACCTCCTATGTTTTATCTTATCCTTCCTTTCTTTCAAGTTCTTGCAATAAGTTATCCTTATACTCCGTCACCTCTAAATGCCCAAGGCAACGCCATCACCTTTATCACAACCACCGCCACCCCTACTTGTTCAAGGCGGTGCCACACCTCCCTTGCCATTGACGAGTCATCCCGACCTGGTCTCTGATTGCAGCCGACTTCTGTTTTTTTTCTCCATGTTCGTGATATGTTCTTACCGAGCTGAGACACTAGTGGTCTTGTAAAACCAAGTTCTTGAGTTGAACGTACTTCTTTTCAATATCACCAAAGTGAGTTTACTTTGTTGCTTTTAATTTTGGTTATGAGGATGATTTCGTACTTCGGATTTCACTCTTATCTTTCTTTGATAATGATAACATGAATAGTACCTATGTTTTTCTATTTTTATACTTCGTACTTGTTTATTTTACAAAATAATCACTTGATATAAGAAATGATGATACTGTATCTCGTATGATAAATTTTCTAAAATGAGTCTTATTGTTGCTTTCACTTTAATTATTAAAGAGATTATAGTTTTTTCAATCCTTTTACTCTACTAATACGAATATTAGTAGTATTTATTTTATTAATAGTGCTTGTTTTACTCTGAATTATATAATACTTGTTTTATTCTATGAAAATAAGTTTATATTAGTTTATTATCAAAGGTTTTGAATAGAGAAGCTACTAATGAGTATTTTATTATTATTGGGTATGATTGAGAGTCATGACAATGAGGAATTAATGACAGAGGTTTAGAGCTCCATGATGATTATTGGAGAATAAGCTAGGGAGATGATTATGGATGATCGAATGAGGTAATCATTATGTCTAGCACTTATGTCTAGCCTTGAATGTTTAACCAATATGTCTAGCAATTGTGTTCAGTCCCGTATATGTAACTATTATGTTTAGCTATTGTGTTTAGACCTGTATGTGTGACAATCACTAGTAGAAAAAGGCAAATGCCCACCAGTTCAAAATGTCCTTATGCCACCAGTTTTGAACCGCTGGGCATTTTGGGGTTGGCAATTGTCCATCGAAAAGCCACCGATTCAAAACCGATGGCTAAACAAGAATTGCCACCGGTGGCAATTAAACCTTCCCGCTTTTTTTGGGGGGTATTAAATCAAAATGTCACCGGTTAACCGGTGGCAATATACATGATTTTTTTAAAAAAAAAAATTCACTTAAAATATAATCTAATACCAATAAAACTCAAAATAAAAAACATATCATAATCAAACGAAATATGTTATACTCTGAAATATGATTACCATTTAATTGTTATTGTATAATAACAAAAAAACAATTACAACAAAAAAACCAAAATAATTCACAAACTCAAATTACAACATAAAAATTGCACCAAAAAAAATTACAACATAAAAACCAAAAAAAATTACAACATAATAACCAAAAAAGCCACAAACTGATACCTACATTCAATTAAAACACAAAAGTTAATAGATCTCACATATTGAAAATAAAAAAAAAATAAAAAAAATATAAAAAGCCAGACAGGAAAAAAAAAACCAGAAACTTCAAAATAAAAAAAATCAAAAAAACCCAATAACCGCATGCATAAACCCTGAAAAATCGAATTAAAATCCTAAAATGGATTAAATTCAATTAAATAAACCCAAAAACCACATGCATAAACCAAGAAAAATCGAATTAATATCCTAAAATGGATTAAATTCGATTAAATAAACCCAAAAACCGCATGCATAAATCCAGAAAAATTGAATTAAAATCCTAAAATCGATTAAATTTGATTAAATACTCAGAAAAAAAAACAAAAATCGATTAAATTCGATTATATAAACCCAGAAAAATCGAATTAAAATCCTAAAATTGATTAAATAAACCCAGAAAAATCAATTAAAATCCAAAATTGATTAATTAAACCCAAAATTAAATCCAACAAAATCGAATTAAATCTAGAAATTTAACCCTAACCTCGAATAATTAAACCCAAAAATTGTTGCTGATGTCGGTGGAATTTAAGGGGAAAGAAAGAGATCGACGAGATTGAATAAACAAAATCGCTTGCATTTCCGACGATATTTGAGCCTCAATTTTGGGGAAATCGAAGAAGAAGACGAAGACGACGAAGAAAATCCAAGAAGATGAAGTAGAAAACGAGGAGAATGAAGGAGAGATAAGGAGAACGAAGGAGCTAAGAGCAGGAGAGAGGAGGAGAGGCGAAAGCGGAGAGAGAAGACTAGGGTTAGGGTTTATAAAGGGATCGAGAGGAGAAATGAGAGGCACGTTTTGTTTTTTTTTTTTTAAAAAAAAAAACTTTACCACCGGTTCAAAATCGGTGGGAATAATGTTTTTTCCACCGGTTCGGTTTGACTTGGTGGGAATACCCCACTCTTAAAATGCCGCCCATTTTTCTCCATATTTTTCCCACCGGTTTTTTAAAAATCGGTGGCCTTAGGTCGGTGTCAATATTCATTTTTCACCTAGTGAATTATGTCCACGTATTATGTGTGCACGAGTGTAACTTTAATGGCCTGTTATTGTATCACGTGTATGCCTGTATGATATGTTTGGCATGTTATGATTTAATTTAAAAGCATGATATGTGCAAATGACATGACATGACCTTTTATATCCTTGTATAAATGGCTTGCGAGATGATAAACATGTTTATTGATGTATTTCAGCCTTATGATTTATATGAATGATTTTATATATATACACAATGTTCTATTGATTTGTGGATCTCTCGAAAGTATGTTAATAATCTACGAATAACTTATTAAAAGATACATAACTTATTATATGAAAGTGAAAGACCTAGTCCACCAAGCAGTATATGTTATGTTTCGGTCATGTAATGCATGTACCCATGGGGCACCAGCCCAAATATGTCGAGCACCTGCTCTATGTTATGGGCACCAGCCCATCGCGAAAGAAGTTCCGTCATGTCATACTGTCCAGCGACTAGCATGTCCACCAAAAAGATTACGAATTCCTGAATTCTATTAAAGGACTTATGAGAACTCACAAGGATACTCTATTGATGAGTTTTATGATATACTGATATGTATGATCGCTTATAAAGATGTCTTACCATCATACAAGATGATAAGAATGCTATGAACGACATGAATTTCTTGTTATTTTATTAATTTATAAATTATGTGTATGTGATCTGTTATGCTATGCCCCTATTAAATGTTTAACACTAAGGATTATTTTATTCAATTAAGTGTTACGAATGAATAATGATTATGAAATGTGTCAATGTGTTATAAATTTTTATGAAGTATAAAGTTGTTCTGAAATGATTTAATATGATACGATAGATGTAACTTTGTCGGCATTGGAAAGTGAACTGAACGTGGAAAATAGGCAAGTTACAGGTTGAAGAAGGTATGCTAATGAAAAGGGGGAAACATTACTACACGAATGAAAGTTATGTTATGTCCAAAACCTGTACTTACTTATGACCTTATGTAAAGGGAATGATCCTTGTCGACATAATTTTTATAAATAATGATATTAGATTAGTTATGAACAACTATGTATGTATGATATATGCTCAAATGATTTTGAAAGAAAAACTGTTTTTGAAGGCTAAAATAGTATTTAACAAGCAAAGTGCCCGTGCGATGCACGATTTATAAATCAAATTATTAAACCCGTAGGAAAAATAAAAATAAAAACAAAGGTAATTCATTTACTATTAAAGGAGTTGTACTAATGGTCAATAAATAAATAAAAAATTAAAGGAACGTTATTTGAATAGTATTTTATGTTATTTGAATTTCTTTTAATTTTTATAATGTTATTTTATTAATTGAAAAATAATTGAATCATACTCCACATAGCTATATAAGAAGTGGACTAATTTATTTATATCTCCCGTTGAGAAAAAACTAAAATTTTCTTATCATACCATCCGCATCAGTAGCTACAATCAATCTAATATATACATGTTTTATTTACCCGTCGCACTCATTAAATCTATAGACACAATAATAACCTTATATTTGACCTACCAGAACATATATTTTCCTAAGTTAAGCATTGTGCCAAAAACTATATATTATATAATAATCATATATATAACCAACAGCTGATTAAATATAGTATATGACACAAATACTTTTTGTATATAGGTATGGATACTGATAGTTTTATATAAATAAAATATACGGAGTATATATTACTAAGATTTATCCCTAACTTAATTATAAAAAGGTTAACAAAACTCTTATAATAGTGCATGGACATTTATATATCTAAAAATGTTCTTGTTACATACATTTTCCCCCATTTAATTTTAAATGTCTTAAAATTGTCTCTTGAATTCGCTAAATTGATTTAAAAGGTTATGTTTATTTCAATATTTAAAGCCATTTACTATTTTCATTTCCTTTTGTTTTAATTTTTCTATTTAGAATTTATTAGACTATTAGATTTCAAGATCGAAGTCAATATCTTTTTACCGTACAATCACTAAATCAAAGTCGCTCAACTAAAGTTTTGGACATTGCATAGCTACACAACATCCAACACATTTAATGATTACATGCTAATAATTTTAATAAAACTACGCATTCGATACAAGTTATTAAACAATTTAACTATATATACATTTTGATAGGTTTATATCTTTCATATTAACAAAAATTTACAAATGTTATTATCATATTTTGAAAAAAAAAATTAGACTTTGGAGTTTTGTATAAGATAGATTAAGGATAAGTTAATTCCCGTCATATATGCATTGAGTTTTGGGTGTTCTATCCAGTTCACCCTTTGGGCTAATCCAGATTTGAGGATTAGTTCTAGGTTATTAGGTTCTACTCCCCTTCCGATTGTTGTTGCAGGGAAGCACACAGGTCCTCCCTACCAAGTGTAGTCTCAATCACCACTACACCAACAACCAATTGGTGTAGTGGTGATTGGGACTACACTTGATATGGAGTACACATGTTATAAAATATTATATTATATACATATAATTTTTTATATTATAAAAAATATTATATTATATACACATACTATTATAGTTAAAAGTATTATTATGTATAAAACAACATAAATTATTGCACATGATTGTTGTATATCTAGTATAGTACATGAGCAATGCACGATTTTTAAATCAAAATGTTAGTTTTTCTAAAAAAAATTCATAAGTAATAACATTGTTAATACGAATATTACAATTTAAAACATGAGTAATAGTTATAATACATTTTATATCTATCTCTTTTCCGTCAAATGTCTAATTCAATTTAACTTTTATTTTTCTTGTTTAGATTGGTTATTTGTTCAGTTTTTTTTTTTTTTTTTTTTTTTTTTTTTTTTTTTTTTTTTTATGCAAGAAAAACAAAAGGTCATTGTAAAAAAAATTGTATAGAAAATGAAAGGCCGATTAAAATTAAATTTATGTTCAAGATTATGTATTTTTTTCCAAGACAACATTTCGGCTCAACATTCAATATTTGTGAAGGAGTACAAACAAACGATAAAAGTAATTTTTACACTATTTTGTATCTTTATCAAAAGCTTTTGTATTCATCCGATTACTTGAATTGAATTTAGGATAACTTGTAGACTATTCTGGGTAACTTTTTTCAATAAAGCATAAGGCAGCTTTTATAATAGGTGCACAATATTTTATTGTAAATCTGATTTTTTTTTAAAATGTTTGTATTGATTTCATAATTGAAGTCAAACTAAATATTATCGATTTTATTTAATTTTCATAAAAAAAAACAATATTAGCCTTTCAAAATACGAAATATTTGTTTTCTTAATCATGCCACTTTAATCATATTGCTTCAAATTAGTTATTATTCTTTAACTTAACTATAAATAAAGATTGGAAAGATTTTATGGATTATTTGAAGTATTGGAAAGTATATATTTATTATAAAAAATTAAATCAATATTTATGTTAGGAAATCATGAAAATCTTATGCATGTATAAAAACTTGCTTTTATTGTTTGAAATTGAACAAAAATAACTATGCTTGAATATGTAAACAGTAATTATATAGATATATTTTATACATAAGATAAGCCAATGAGATAGTGACATTTGTCATCCTCACATTGAGGCGCTTGTCTTTTAGTATAATATATAGATTAAGTTAATTAGAGGGTAATGAGGGAAATAGGTTTCCTCTTGGAAAAAAAAAGTGGTAGTTTTTTGTAACCAAAAAGTTTTTACAAGATTTTTTTTTCGCAAAATGATGCTTTTAAAAGTTTTTTTTGACAAATTTCCTTAAAGAAAAACAGGGTAAGGCTAATTACTCCGCATTAAGAAATTACATTAATGTACTCACTCAATTTTGTAATTAATAATTGTAACAATCTTTATATCATCTATTTCAAAATAATTGCAAATACTTCCTTAGACTATTCTTTTCAATTTTTCACTATTCACACATTTCTCTTTGGTTATCATTTCTTTGTTTACATAAGTAAAAGTATAGTTACATCGTCATTATGAGTTGTACTTTTCAAATATCAAATTTCTATAATTTTTCTAAATCCAAATAATAAATATTAATATCTATATTTTTATATTGACAAGCGTGGAACACCAAATGATATCGATGCAATTAGAAAATAAAGAAGTAAATACCAATTGCAATTAATAACACCAAAATTTTCCTTTGGTCTTCGCTCTTTTATTTTTGTAAAACATTATTGGATTATTTTTCATACACTACATAATAGTTAAAACCAAAATTGTGAGAAACTACGTAATAATAATGTTGTAAGAAACTAGCTAATAAAGAAAAAATGTTGTAAAAAACTATCTTTGATGGAATTTTCGTCGTTGGCCTAATTTTCATGTATCAACCTACCTTAAAACTTTGCTGAAACTGTTTCGAGGATTTTTTGGATTTCCCTTGGGATACTGGTCGCGCTCTTCGGACAGATTGGTTCGGACACTAGCAAAAGTGCGAACGAATATCCCGTTCCCCGAATATTCGTCTTCGACGGTTAAGTTAGTAACTGGGAATTGGAAAAGCTAGAGAGAGAAAGTAGAGAGAAGTTGGAGCTTGAGTGTGCTCGTAAATGTTATGTCACAATCCACCCCTCCCATTATAAATGATTGGGGTAATTATAGGGGTGGGGAATTGTGCCCCTTAGGGTTGCTGCCCTAATATTCTACGCTCTGATTAGCAGTGCAATCAGAAGAGGACACATGTCCTAGGGGGCGCCATTTTCTGGCTTTCTCGAGATTTTGGCCTCCTGATGTAAGGAGGCCCTTTATTCTCTTTATCAGGTGCTCATGTAGTAGTTTTGCACGTGTCATCTTCCTATAGGGACACGTGTCGTTTTTTTTTTAATTTGAGCCACATGTCTCTATATGGGATTGGACCACGTATTTGTGGTATTTTTACCCTAAATAGAAACCACTAGCTTTTTCAACCTCAAACCAACACAATCCGTTTGAAACTACCTCCAAACCCTAAACCCACCCACAACCCCAAAACCAACACAACCCACTCCACCATGCTGAAACCACCCTCCAACCCCAAAACCACCACCTCTTTTTTGCAAAGCCACTAATCCGTAGCCCGAAACTACCTCCACTAACTTAGAAAATACCCTAAACAATTGCCTTGAAAATAGTCTTACCACTTGAAAACCATTGTAGACACCCATTTGTGTCTCCCCAAAATCAAAACCAGTGATGAGCTCCTTTCACGTCGAATCATAATCGAATGAAACGAAAGTGTGGAAGGTCTAGTGTTGCGGAAAATTTTTATTTCTTTTCT